CAGCTAGACTGAACCGAGTTTTCATCTATTTGGTTTATCATGTGCGTTTCATCCCCAGCATCAAGAATTCTACGGATATCTTTCCATACATGGCTCTTATAGTGGGTGTGTTTCTAATTCCTACAACGCTCATTACAGAAGAAAATGTGATCAATATCACACTTACCCTTGCATGAGACAATATCAAGATCAATTGGTATCTCTTATTCAATTCATCACTAGCATATCTTGAGAATTTGATCAACTTTTTGGTCATATCAACATCTCATTTGTATTCCTATTAAGTTTTGTTCTCAAGTGGTCTTGTGACGTCATTCAAAAGCTTTGAACACTAGGCAAAGAGCTTCAATGATTGAGAACATCTGAGCAGAAACCACAGGAAAGGATGAATGTGTTGTCAAATGTTTTACGAACATCTGAGCAGAAGCCACAAGAAAGGATGAATGCGCCGTCAAATGTTTTACGAACCTGCTATTCTGATGTTGAACCAATGTTACGATCATATGGTTTCCATTTATTGATCAAGTCTGTCTTCTTCCACCCCAAGATTAGAAGTGAGATATAATGAAGATTTCTTTCCACAGAAGGGAAGCAGAAATTTTAACAACAAGAAACTAGTGGCACCAACTAAGGTTGAACGACAGGTTAAACATCTCGACATGATATGGTCCAAGTTGCCGTATTCGAGATTGGATTAGATGTGGAGATATGAAAGGAATTAAGATAAATCCTCCTTGTGATATGTTTCAAGAGTCAAATCAGAACATACTCTACTCTCCTAATTAATCCCTGCTGAGTCAAACATATCTACATCTACATTCTTCAAAGATGATAGATTCCCTTTTTAAAGATGACAGATTCTCTTTTCAAAGATGAAAGCTTTATCAGATTTCTGCACAACTCCAAGCAAAGAAAGTTGGTTTTATCCAAGACAAAATGGGGCATCAAGGCCATAGTTCTGACTACGACAAGAGTTCCACAAATGAAACAGTTCTTCTGAGACTTTCATGAAGCAAAGAAGACATAAAGATACAAGTTGATCAGATGGTTCTTCAGAAATGCAAGCTTGATAGCATAAGTTGCTACACTGATATCCAAGGGTAACCTTGGAAATGAATGATGAAGTGGAGGAAAACCAAGCTCACCACTTTGAAGTCAAATGAAGATTGCATCAACATTCATGCATCATATTTAGACATTTGCAAAATAGGAACATTTTCATTCATTTTATCCATATTGAATATTTGACAGGAATTTCAAAGATTTTAGCAAAGATTCAAATCCATCATTTAATGGATCAACATTTCCGGAAGAGTTCATAATGAGAAGAACTCATCTGAAGAAGAAGTTCATAATGAGAAGAATTTGTTCAACCTTTTGCTTGAATTCATCACTCGATGGATCAGCATTGCCAGGTCGAGTTCATAATGAGAAGAACTCATCTGAAGAAAGAAGAAGAAGTTCATAATGAGAAGAACTTGTTCAACTTTTCGCTCAAATTCATCACTCGATGGATCAGCATTGCCAGGTCGAGTTCATAATGAGAAGAACTCATCTGAAGAAAGAAGAAGAAGTTCATAATGAGAAGAACTTGTTCAACTTTTCGCTCAAATTCATCATTCGATGGATCAACATTTCCAGAAAAAGTTCATAATGAGAAGAACTCATCTGAAGAGGATGATAAGTTCATAATGAGAAGAACTTGTTCAACCTTTTGCTCGACTCTATCGCAAAAGGAGATATATCGGCATCAATATTTCCAGAAGAAGTTCATAATGAGAAGAACTCATCTGAAGAAGGAGAATAAATTCATAATGAGAAGAATTTGTTCAACCTTGCCTTAATTCATCACATATGAAGCTGAATCAACAACTCCTCTTTTGAAGATCAGTATTTCCAGAAAGAGTTCATAATAAGAAAAACTCATCTGAAGAGGAAGAAGAAGTTCATAATGAGAAGAGCTTATTCAACCTTTTGCTAGATTGCATCACAGAAGGAGATGAATTGTAATCCCCAGTGAAAGAGTTCATAATGAGAAGAACATGTTTAATTTAAAAAAAAAACTTATTATCTTTTCGTCTTTGCCCTATTCTTGTTAACACAAAAATGAGCAAAGAGGGGCAGCTGAAGATACTAGTTTTTTTTTCTTTCATCCATTTATTTTTATTTATATTTTTATTTATATTTTATTTATTATTATTATTAATAAATATGATTATTATTACAAACAGACCCATTTACAAACCCGACCCGTTTACAAGCCCAACCCGGATCCAGCATAACCCTAACAGACTAGGGTTTCTTTCTTCCCAGCCAGCCGCCCAGCATCACAGCCGTTGGATCTGGCTATGATCCAACGGTCCAGATGGTTCCAGCAGGAAACCCTAGGGTGATGATACCCTAGGGACACGTCCCAGCCGCTGCTGCTGCTTCCAGAAGACTCCACCACCACACCAACGTTCCAGCTTCAGCCACGCCCCGTTGAAGACTCCAGAAGTGCCTCGTCAATGCCCCATGTCGAAGCCCTATGGTGAGTCACCACCATAGTCCGGTGACTCACCAAAGGTCACCCCTTTGTGACCAGTCCGAGACGAACCTCATGGTGGCTATAAAAGCCACTGGTTCCCTGCAAACAAGAGGGACCAGAGGGAAGCAACCAAGATACAGAGACGAGAGAAGAGATACACAGAGAGGAGACGAACAGAGAGACCATCGACAATAATAACAGAGAACAAGACACAACAACAACAACGATATCAACCACAGCAAACAACAACCAAAAGCAAGTAAAATCAACCAACCAATAAAAGAGAAGAAGCCAAAATACTTACCAGTCGCCGGAGCCTCCACTCGTCACTGGAGAACCAAAACGTCGAAGGTGAAAATCCTGGATTTACAACGTATTATGGGGTTTTAGGTTAAAATAATGTTAGATCGAGTATTAGGACTTCTAGATCTACATTTGGGGTGTAATATTGTAAGTTCCGGCCACCACCCACGGTGGCCGGTGGCGGCGATCGGCGCCGGAAACGGTGGTCGGCCAGAAATTTTAGAAAGAAGACAGAGAGAAAATATTTTCTCTCGTCTGGAGAGAGAAAAAAAAAGAGAAATGAAAGGTTTGGCTCTTTAGAGCCGGTTTTGAACCTTTTATAACCTCATCAAAACGGTGCCGTTTTGATGAGGGATCTGTGTGTAATTAAGGGAATGGGTAAACCGTTTTCTCAGTCCTTCTGGGTTCTGTAAGTTTGCAATTTGATCACCAAAATCAATTCTTATACGTTTTAATTTAGTCTCGTAATTTTATTTTATTACATTTTAGTCCTAGCCCGTATGTTTATACATTTAGGATAAATGCTTGATTTAGTCCCTCATAATTTAATTAGTGTTTATTTTAATCCTGTATTAACATTTAGGTTAAATCACGCTATTCATACCTATATTACATAATATTAATTATGTCCATTAATGGTTTATATTTTATAATTTGATCATTAATATTATATAATAACCATAAATTTTATTATTTTTACATTTTAAGCTCATATATTATGAATATGATCCTATAGTTTTAATACTATCACTTTTAATTTCTTTCATTTTAATTATTATTATTTTTATTTTATTATTACTTTTGATATATGTTTAAATTATTATTTTCATGATTATTTTATATTATTTATTTATTTATTCTATTTGTTTATTAAATAAAAAAATCTTATTTATAAATTTAATTTTATAAACTACTTTTAAGAAAAAAATATTCATATTTTGATGTGTATTTATTTTTAATATCGAAAAAAAGCTGTCTTAAAGCACCTAGAAGTCATTTTCTGATATTCTTAAATAAATAAATATCCTATTTTTATAAATCATATATTAATTTATTTTAATTATTTTTAGATAAATGCTTTAATATTTATTTATTTTTTAATATCGAAGAAAAGAGCTGTCTTAAGACACCTAGAAGTCCTTTTCTGATATTTCTAAATAAGTAAATATCTTATTTATATATATTAATATATTTTCTTAAAATTATAAATTTGAAATAATAGGATTATAAATTAAATATATTTTAAATTTTTTATTTCTAATAATAGAGACAATTTATAATTAAAAAGTACCAATTTTGGGCGTTGTAGGGGTGCTAATCCTTCCCTAAACGTAACCGACCACGAATCCCTTTTTATTATTAAAAGAAAGAATTTTTGGTTATAAACGCAGATCAGTTCATCTTTTAACTGATGTTTTCTTAAAAACTCTGTTAAAAGATAATTCTTAGGTATTCAACCTACCTGACCCAAAAGGCCGATGGCGACTCCCAAATTATTTTCAAAACCATTTATTAACATCAATTTTCCCGTCAAGTAAAAAATTCGTGCCTGGACGAAAATCGGTTACGACAGTATGCATTTTCCATGAGCATGAGTAATTTTAAAAATATTTGTTTGTCTAACATGAAATATTATAGCTGCTGTTAAGGTTAGTGTATAATCATGTGATTGATTTGCAATAGTTGTGTGAAACGACAAGGTCAGAATTTATTGTTGCAAAGATTAATAAAACTGGATCTTTGATGCATATCTATAGTTCTTCGAATTGGAAAAGCCGAGTTTTTTGTTTGCTCATGATAATATGCAAGAATCCGGACTTAAAGCCTCTTTATAACTATTATCTTGGGAACTATAAAATATATATTGCTGGTATTTTTGTCAAGGTTATGGCCAAACACTCCTAAAACAACATACAGGCAGTCAATCTCAAGCACAAAAGTATATCCAGTTTTTGTGAATCATGATCTCGAACTCAAGGCTGCTATGGGGGACCTTCTCTTTGTCTCTTTTTTTTTTGGGGTACCTGAACTTCATATAAGAGATCTTAAATGTCATATTCAGTTTGCATATTTTGGAAGAAATATTGCCACTTGTCATTTGCAGTAACTTTTTGGAACTTGTTTCTGTGCTGTATATTTCCTCTGACTTACCGGTTGTAAATATTTTCAGGCAGAATTTGACTTTCACGGGGAGGATTGGGATTGGGGAAGCTATAACACTCAACATGTTGAGGCGGTGGGTGCATACAGTAATGATGATGGCTTGCGTCTTGAAAAATTTTTTATCCAAAAGGATAATGCAACAGTCCATGCTGATGGAACTTTGTTGGGGCCAAAAACCAATCTTCATTTTTCTGTTCTAAATTTTCCTGTTAGTCTAGTTCCTACCCTGGTACAGATTATTGAATCATCTGCCACTGAAGCTGTTCATTCTTTGCGACAATTGCTGGCCCCAATTAAGGGTATATTATACACAGAAGGAGACCTCAGAGGAAGTCTTGCAAAACCAGAATGTGATGTACAAGTAAGGCTCTTGGATGGTTCCATTGGGGGCATTGATCTTGGTCGAGCTGAAGTTGTTGCTTCCCTGACCTCAAGCAGCCGTTTTCTGTTCAATGCCAAATTTGAACCAAGCATCCGCACCCAAAATGGCCATGTACACATACAGGGAAGTATTCCTGTTACGTTTGTCCAATATAGTGTGTCTGATGAAGAAATAGGAACAGAAACAGAAAAAAACGGGACATCTTTTGTCCCTGGTTGGGTGAAAGAAAGGAGCAAGGAGTTAACTGATAAAACAAGTGAGAAGAAGACCTTCCGAGATAGAACAGAAGAAGGTTGGAACGCTCAGTTAGCTGAAAGTCTTAAAGGTTTAAATTGGAACATCCTAGATGCAGGAGAAGTTAGAATTGATGCTGATATAAAGGATGGGGGCATGATGTTGACAGCATTATTTCCATATGCAGACTGGCTTAATGGCAATGCTGATATCATGCTTCAGGTGGGTTAACTAAAGAAGGTTCTTGTTATCTTAACACTTACGGCAAACAATTCGCATAACATTCAACCAACAGTAATTTAGTAGTATCTCTCAATTGTTTTCATGTCTTGTAAACCAGGTTAGAGGCACTGTTGAACAACCTGTGCTTGATGGATCTGCATCATGTAGATGCTTAATTTGTCTGGGAAGTTAAAAACCAGAAAAAAAAGATAGTGGGGAAATAACTACCAGAAACGTGGGACATTTAACCACTAAAAAACGAGAGCATTAGGGGGGGGGACACAATGAAAAAGAAAGGGAGAACCAGTGAAAAGAAAACCAAGGAAAAAACACAAAAAAGAAAAAAACGACCAGAAACGAGGGGGAAGCAGAAAATTGGATTAACTATCAGCGATTTTGCAGTATTGAGAGAATACGAAAGGAAATCGCAGTGTAATCATACAATTCAAAAATAGATAAAGCAATAAAGGTACATTTCTCCTAGGGTTCTTCTCCAATTTTCTTAATTTTCCAGTTCGTTCTTTTGTTTTATGCATGTGTGGTTGTTTTTAAAATTAAAATGTTGAAAGGGACTGGGACTTACCTATACTGCTCGAGCCTAAGAAAAAGAAGGAGTCTCGTCGGCTTCATTTGTTCTCTGTGTGGGTTCAGTAGTCAATAAAAAGTGTGAGATTTAGTTTAATAATACCAAAATAAAGAAAATAAAGAAAGGAAGCGAGGCAGTACCTTAGGGTCGAACAGTAGAGATCAGAGTGTAAGGGTCTCGGGGTTGAGAGTTTAGGTTTGTTTGAGGTTTGCCTAACTGTCGAGATTAACTAGGGTAGATTTAATCTTCATCGGAGCCTGCGACGGCTTTGTGTGGTCGTGGGTTCGTAGGAGGGGGTGAGAGGCTCGGTGGCGTTCATGGATCGAAGGTAAGTATAAGGATTTTGGCTCTCGGCTAGAGTTATGTGCGGCCAAACCCTCGTCGGGTTTAGATGGTGTTCTCATCGGAGTCGAGCGTAGGAGAGGGTGAGAGGCTTGGTGGCGTTGGAGCTTCCTTAGGCTGTGAAGGCGGTCGTGAGTGAGGAAGAAGGGACGGTTGAGAGTGAGAGAGAACGTGAGGGATTTGTTGGGTTTAGATATTAGGGTTTTGTTTTTAGGTTAGATTTTATTAAAGTATTAGCTGAAACGCCGTCGTTTCAGCCGATACTTTCCTAGTTTTTATTTCTGACCCAGTATTCTGCACACATTCCATTTCGGTCCCCAAAATCAGGCATTTCGATCTTTGTTGTTATTTTAATATGGTCTCTTAATTTTAAACGTTTTATATCTTAGCCCAGAATCATGTTAGAGCCATTTTCGTACTGTTTTTACCTTGGTTGTGTAATTTACGGAACTTTTATTTTGGTCCTGGAACGAATCTTTTGCACCTTATTAATTTTGTCTTCATATTTATGAGCGCTTTTCATTTTAGTCCTGAAATGTTTTTATGTTTTATTTTTGAAATGTAATTTGTAATTTTGGTTGTTTGACCATTTAGTCACTTAGCATGTTTTTTTAATTTAATAGTTAATTCCTATTTTGCATGCTTAGTTTAATTTTATTTTATTATGGTCCTTCATGGTAAGTTTGAATGTGAAGTCGAGTTATTAATAGTATGTTTTATTGTATATATGGTTTTATTCTAATGTATGTTAATGTCGTAAATACATGTTTTTTTTAGATTTAGAAGTTTGTTTGAGCGCATGGCATATTTTAATTAGTTTTTGCATGACATTATTTTGTATAATATACATGATAATCTCATTTGCATAACTCGACATATTACATAATTAGATTAAGGGTAATGCCCTTTTAATTTAAAATTATTGTAAGTGGGCAGTCATAACTGATTTGAGGTCCGCTTTTAATGATTTTAAATTAAAAGTGTATCCCGAAAGTGAAACCAAAAAATTTTGATTCGTCACCTAAAATTTGGGAACGAAAGAAAAAGAAATGTTCGTTTATTTAAATATATCGAGAAAAGGTTGTTATATCTTTAAGATCTGGTCTCGATATTTGTAAATAATCGAACATTCTTTATCTTTCTAAAATGACTCGGTAATTTTAATTTAATTCGTTTGAGTGTTCTTGAATGTTTTAAATTTACATTTTTGTTTTATGGGATCAAAATTCAAATTAACTTCGAATTTGTAAAGTTCATTGCAAAAACGTTAATTAATCGATTAGGTACCGATTTAGGGCGTTGTGGGGGTGCTAATCCTTCCCCACACGTAACCGACTCCCGAACTCGGACTTTGGTAACGCAGACCTCAATTTGTTGTTTTAATAAAAATTAATTTTTATTTAAAATAACAAACATTTTTTGGGTGCCCAATCACACCCTAATCAAAGGTTGGTGGCGACTCTTTGAACTATATTTTTTCGATCATAAAGGAAATCTGATTTTTTTTTTGAAACGAAAGGTTTTTAAATCGCATTTGTTTTTAAATTAAAAATCAATTGAAAGAGGTAAATTAAAAATTAATGTGTTTTTAAAATCTCACATTTTCACCATTAAGAAAAAATCGTTTCGACAGCTTGGCGACTCCGCTGGGGACCTTTTTTAGAGAGTCAAGCCGATAGTCGATTAATTAATTGTCTTTGCAATTGAAAATTACAAATTCGTTTTAATTTGATTTTTGATCCCTTGTTTGGTTTTTAATAAGTTTTGTTTATATTTTGATTTTTTTTAATTTAATTCGATTAACAATTAAATAGTTGTACTAATCTGTTTGCTAATGGTTTCAGAATAATTGTTTGTTTTAGGAATTGATTTTGAGTGTTTTTTGATTGTTTTTTTGCTTTTCCTCACACACTGCACAGCTGCATTATCATAACATGAGCTAAAACCCCGCTCCGTCCTATTTAAGTAGGAGTGAGAGACTATGCCCTCGTGTGGTTTTCACCTCCGCATGGGATAGTGGATCGCTCCTGGAGCTCACGCCTTATGGTCCTCGTGATGGTAATCACCTCCGCATGGACATAAGGAGGTGTGTTCCCTCGAAATTGAACTCGATCCCCTAAAGCCTGTGATGGGCCAGGATTGAGGGTTCGGCAGCCCAATGGGGCACCGGCAAGGACAATTCGAGAACCTATTACTTTAGAAACTAACCCAGCATATAGTGAACGTAGAGCCTGAACTTAGGTTGAACCAAACCCGAGCCTTAACAATCCCGTGAGGAGGGTACACAAGGAAAAGCTTTTTTGAGTCATTTATTTTTGTTTTTTCGAATAAATGCATACGAATTAGATATCATGCGGTTAGGTTTATTTTTCGAACAAGTATGTGAATTAGATATCATGCGGTTAGGTTTTCTTTTTGTGAATAACGAGGCATGGGGTAGATATCATGTTGGGTAGGATCTGATAAAGCATGATTGGGTAGTCAGCATATGTGGGTAGGATTTTTGAACAAATTATTATCCTGAATTAATTGCTTCATGTTTACTAACTGATCTTTTGTTGTTTTTGCCTCGTTTCTTTTCTGTTTTGTATTGCATTGTCCATTACATGGTGTTGATTTGGGGTTGATGTCCATATAGAAGGCCAGTAATATGGAACGAACGGTTCAGAAAGAGGTTGAGGACAATGCAGATGTTCTGAGGTGGTCGGAACAGTCCCAATTGACCAATGGAGACAGCGTGATGCCTGGATACGTATCGGAGTTATTTGGTTATACTCACATCAACGTGCGTCAGAATGATCTAAGTGAGCTAAAGGAGATATGGGGAAGATGGACAGTAGCCGATAAGGAGATGTTTTATCAGTTGTACGGTGATATTCCTTATCTTCTGGATGTTTCTATTGACCGAAATCTGTTTAGAGCATTGGCACAGTTCTGGAACCCGGCTTATAGCTGTTTCACATTTGGTAGAGTAGATCTGACACCAACAATAGAGGAGTATCAAGCATTGGTCCGTTGTCTGAGGTCCCAGATAGATAGAATATATACCAAGTTGCCAGTCACTCATTCATTTAAGAAAAAATTACTATTGATGACCGGAATGAGTGAAGATTGGGTAGTCAGAAACATTAAGAAGAAGGGAGACAGTGAGTGCATCTCTTGGGCTGCTCTGAAAGAAATAATTGCTCATCATCCTGATAAGAGAAAGAAGCTTGACTTGTTTGCTTTAGGGATTTATGGGCTTGTTATTTTTCCAAAAGTGCTAGGATATGTAGACGTATCAGTTGTTGACCTGTTTGAAAGATTAGACAAGCACGTGGATCCTGTTCCAGCTATTCTAGCTGAGACGTTTCGGTCTTTGAGTTCTTGTAGACGTGAGGGAGAAGGACGCTTTATAGGATGTGCGCCTTTGCTGCTAGTGTGGATTCTGAATCATTTTAAACATGTTGAAAGAGCACCAGGACGAGTGTTTCTAGAGGGGTTTTCGCCTTTGAAAGATTTTCTTTCTAAAGAGTGGCCTGGGGGTTTTACTGAAGAAAAATGGATGGTCATCTTCAAGGATATCAGAGATGGAGATATTTTGTGCCGAGCTTCATGGAATACCTCTTCGGATATACTTTACCGATGTGGAGAGCGAGATTAGGTTCCTTTGCCAGGTATATGGGGTTCTGTTGGGTATGCACCGTTACTAGTTTCCAGACAGTATGGGTCAAGGCAGTTCATTCCAGCCACATGGGACTTGGTAGGGTCGGATTTTGCATTCAAAGGAGATCAGTATAAGGGTAAAGTTAAAGGGGTTGCTGAGGCCTGGAAGCAAACTCGTCGCGTGAATTTGTTTACCTATGATCTCGAGTTGTCTCAAGAGTACGAGCAGTGGAGAAGCGGTCGAGTAAATGACAATATCCCGATGGTGAATCCTGAAAATATTCAGCCGATGGAAGAACAGTTGAGAGTGGTGCCATCTCCATTAGAGTTAGCCAAGCGCGATTTCGAAGCAGAACGGAGACAATGGAGAATGACTTTGCAGAAGCTAGAAGATGAAGTGTATCAAAAAGGATTGGAGATTGACATTCAGAAGAGTAGAGCAGATCGAATTGAAAAAGTAGAAAAGCAACTTCGGCTAGACTTTGACGATCTTCGGTCAACTTATCAGCGAATGGTAAAAGCTCAAGTAGGTTCTAGCTCGAGTAAGTCTGTCGAATTGAGGCAAGAGGTGGCGAGCCTCAAAAGA